CCCAATTGTCATTTGGTATAACTTCAAAGGTGACTCTTAAGTCAACATGTTTCACATGCCTATGAAAATAGAACTTCAAGAAAAAGGGGTTAGAGAGATGGCTGGCTCAGTGCTTAAGAGTGCTGGCTAAGGACCACCCACCTCCATCCAGGTCTTTAATAAATAAATAAAAAAATATAAAAAAATAAAGAGATCTGGGATACAAATAAAAAAAAGAGTACTGGCTATTCTTCCAGAGATCTTAAGTTCAATTCCCAGCAACCATGAGGTTGCTCACAACCATCTGTAATGAGATCTGATGTCCTCTTCTGTCATGCAGGTATACACTGTATATGTAATAAATAAATCTATCTTTTTTTAAAGGAAAAAATTCAAGAGGAGACTAAACTCACTCTCAGTAAGTAAATATTCCAGAAATTCAATGCTACTGTGTCCTTTGCCAAAGTCCTCACACATGAACACATCTTCAGACACTAGAGTAGATGAAGGAGACTGGCTGTAGTTAAATAATGATGTCGTAGAACTGGGATGATAAGGAAAAACTTTAATGTGACAAAATTTATTGTCATTATAGAAAAGGCATTCAGCTCAGTTGACTCTCTTTCCTCATCTCAGCCTTGGGTTAATATGCATTTGAGTCAAGTAATTAATACGTAAGAGAGAAGTTATTTCAGCAAACAGTGAAAGTTTTCAGCACATGGAAAGTTTGCCTACATTAAATTTAAATGTATGTATTTTAGTATACCTAGATTATGCAATACCTCATAGTGCTGCTTACATTTCCATTCCTTGCTTTGACTAATTAAGTAAACTAAAGTGTAGAAAGCACAGTGTTGGTAATCTCTGTATGCTACTTCTTGGAGGTCACTGCATTAAAGATGTCTCTTCAACAATCACCACCAATAAAGTTTTCCAAAGATAGCCCCAAATTCAACACTGTAGTTTTCAAGGAAACCTTTTCATTTTTTGTCGTTGACTATTAAACATGCATTTAATTGTCACATTCTTAAAAATTCCACATATGGTGTGGGAGGTCCTTCTGTTTATGTGTTGCTTTTATTGGTTAGTGAATAGAGAACTGCTTTGAGCCTATGGCAGGGGAACAGAACTAGGTGGGGAAAGCTAGGCTGTATGCTGGGATATAGAAGGGTGGAGTCTGGGAGAAGCCATGGAGCCTCTGGAGACAGACGATGGGAACTTTAGCTGGTAAGTCATAGCCACATGGTGACACACAGATTAATAGAAATTGGTTAAATTAATATGTAAGAGTTAGTCAATAAGAAGCTAGAGCTAATGGGCCAAGCAGTGTTTTAATTAATACAGTTTCTGTGTGATTATTTCTGGGCTAAGCTGCCAGGAACTAACTAGTGGCTTCCCTAATACACACATACAATACAAAAACAATACAAACACCCTGCAATACCCATATCTAAGAGTGTATGTGGTGATTGACTTCACAATAAAAATGTGTTTGAAGAAGCATTTCCTATCCTATTTCAGTCATCAAAATGTACTTTTTGAGACCACTGGTCAGTATTATTTACTTAAAAGAAGCCATGGGTTGTACAAATAAACTCTTGTGAGTTCAATTCAAACTGGTTGTAGCAAGTTCGTAACTTAAATCCATCAAACTTCACAGAAAGTGCATTGCGTCATGTATTTTCATACAATGTTATACCTTTAATATTTAAACCTTTGAAGAAACAAAAATCAGGCAATACTTCAAGCAGTAATCATAATTATTTTTTAGTGGTTGTTTGTACTTTAAAAAAGTTTCCTTATGCTGTGCTTCAAGTTCTGGCAGAAAGACCAAAGAAAACAAGAATAAAAACTTAAAGGAGGACAATCAAAATCCTGATTCTCTTTGGTAGCCAGTGATGTTCTTTGACTCCTGAATTGAGACAAGTTTCATTGAAGTGTGAGGTGGGCTGATTCAAACACTCAGTACTTCACATAAGCATTTTTGACAAAAAGGAAAAACTATGAGCAAAATGCCTTCACCCACTCATAATGATGTGATACTAGTGTGGGATGACCAACAGCAGCAACAACAAAAAATCTGAAAAAGCATCCGATGTGTATAAAGTTAAAAGAGCTGGAGGCATTTAGTTCCATCAAGAATGCATCAAAAGAGGCTTTAAACATTGTTTCTAAACATCTGAAGGCAAGCTTTCTGAAAAGGGGATTGAACATTTCTTTAGAATATTAAGCAAAAAAAAAAAAACAAACAATATAAAAACAAAAATAAATAAAATCAAGACGTAATATAAAGTTCCAGGTAGCCAGATCATTACCTAATATTAAAAAAAAACCAAGTTCAAATTTGTTTATAATAAAGAATATTCCAAGTAGAGCCCTACTTGTTTAGAACCCAGTATGGCAGACCTTCTCCAATGACAGGGGCCCATCCCACATCCGTTCACTGGAGGTTAATATCAACTAAATGAATTCTTAGGTTTCTTAGGTTTGGAATCTTTCAAGTTATTCCTCAGGAAATGGAACAGGCATACCTCTTCAAAGCAAGCAGTGAGCAATAATAAAATGCCAATTCTGAGACTCACAACATTAGTATAATCTGCTATTTTCTGGAAATTAAGACAAATAAAAAACAAAGCCAGAAAGAGTTTGCTTGTATAGACCAGGTCAGTTCAAACGTACACACTAAGCACACTTTTAAAATTATATAATCAGTTTTTATTCATTTTCAGTGACAAACACACGAACACTTGAGAATAAAAACTTTGTTCCAGAAGAACACAGTGACTTTTCTGTTTTTTTATGACTTCATATCTTGTGGACGTTAAAAGACAGATCCGGTTCAAGGGCCATAAAATAATAAATGTGCTTGAACTATCCATAAAGCATTTAATTCCTTTATGCTTCACATAGAAAACAAGAAATGTTTCCATGAAGCATAACGTTAGAAAAATAGGAATAAAAATATAATAGAACAGTTAATCAGAGCAACAAATAAGTCCTTCTGCTAGGGCAGGCATGAAATAAATGCAAAGGAAAGTTGGATGCTTTCATCCGCTTAACATGTGGTGTAGACACTTCCTCCCATCACCTCAGTCCTGTCCACAACATTACTTTAGGCTTGGCAGTAAGACTAGAATTATAGAGTGGTTTTGTGTTTGGGTTCCTGTTTGTTCCACTAAATGCTTATTAAAGAATACCATAATGTGCTTCTTAATCTATAGTTTCTCTTTCTGTCCTGTAGAGATTAATATTTAGGAAGAAATAATACAATATTTAATTGCAGGATTTTGTTTTATCTCTCTGAGTTAGCTACTTATCTTGTAAAATTATCATTCTTGCAGTAGTGCTAAAACAAGATGTTTATCAACAATATTCCTGGGAAATAGAGATTTTATTGTCAAAGCAGGATTTTTACAGTCAACGTGTTTCTGAAATATCGGAGGGAGTAGCATACATTAAAGCAGATATGAAAGTTGATATGAGATTTCCTTATGCCATGGAAACCATGCAAATGCAACCCCCACCCCCTGTGTAAAATAACAGCAAACATGGGAAATGAACACCAGGTACTGCTTCAACAACTAGTACTATTAAGGATACAGATAGAGCAGGTTTCGGTTTTCAAATAGGTAGAACAATGCCGATCTCTCATCCTGGGTTCCTTCGTATGATTCTTCTTTAATAGTGGAAGATGCTATTTGGACAGTTACAACTTAAAGTTTCTCATTTTGATTTAAATTAATAAAAAATCTCTATTATATTTCTACAGATCTTTTCCTACATCAGACCTAGCTTCTGAAATAAATTTGAATAACATCCTTTTCACAAGTATGGATAATAGACTTTGGGGTATCTTTAAAAATATCCTTCCATCCACACTTCATTTCTTGCTATTACAGTTTTAATAAGAAAAGATAATCCATTTGGGGCTGTATAATTACTATTGATTTGCTTTCACTTTTAAATGCACTTTCAAGGAGCACGGTGCTCTAGGGCTGCTCCTTCATCAGCCTTCCAGTGATTTTTGTAAAGTGATTTTGGTCTTAGTCAGGACTGCCTGTGCAAAGTGGATTAATAATCAATAAAATAAACTCGTCTATAAAATGTTGTGATCTCTGTGTACATTGGTTGGTTTAAATAACCATCTTAACTGCACACTTTCAAAGAGAACACCGTGAAGCCCACATTTCAGTTGTCCATTAGGAAAATGAGTGAGAAGGTGTGATCAAATTATGAAGTACATGGCTTTATACTGAGTAGTGAATATTCCTTATTTCTTCCTTCAGAACTCATTATGTAACCATCCCAGGTGGTTCTTAATGGCATACATATTCTAAATATTGATGCCATATATGTTAAATGATAATAAAAAGTAGTTTTTCTTATCTTGTGATCACTGTTAGACAGGTTTTAGCAAGGGGGCCCAAATCACACATGAAATCTTTGGAATAATTGGGAACAAGGAAATGAGATTGGAACTCAGTGGTCTTCCAACATATAAAATACGTGTTGCTATTTACTCTAGATCTGTCCTGCACAATTTAGGACTTGGATCAAGGTCCTCACTTCTTATAAAAAGAATGAGAGAAAACCCAGACTGTTGTAAATCAGTGTTTCTTCTCAAAACTTCTTGAATTTCAAAGATTGCTTTTGAACCAAAAATCCCTAATTTGACTCCCAGCTTCTTCCCTGGACTTCTAAGGTCTCTTTTCTTCTCCTCTGAGAATGCACTCTGCTGGTCCATTGGTCATTCTCTAATAACCCTGTAGACATGATCTAGCTTGAGCTTTCTGTTGTTACAGAAAGCCTGTCATCTGGGTAGATGACTTGCAAGGTACTGAGTTTATTGTTTCTTTTTAATGTGACATGGTGTTCTTTTCTTACATTTTCCAAAGCACAACTTATGTTACTGCTCTGAACACAGCTGAAGGTTTACCTTGCTCCAACCATATTTAGGTGATGACATAATTTTGTGAAATATTATTGCTAGTGCTTCCTCCCACCTTTCTTTTTTATCCAAGATTGAGATTATGTCTGTGTGATGGAACCCAGCATAAGACCCTCAACATGGAGATCTGAGTGGGCTGAAACCTCTATATTCTACATGCCTTGAGCTACATTCATGCTCTGAAGATGTATTGACTAGGCCAAGTGGAAAATTACCTCTTTGGTTTAAGACAATATTTCTCTGCCAAGCCAAGTTCATGGAGGACAATCCAAGAACGGTAAGATACAACTTTGATAGCATCTTCCCGTATGTGCATCCCTTCCCCAGCATCATGAAGCTCAGGCTAGATCATGTATACAATCAATGGACCAACAGAGTGCCTTCTCAGAGGAGAAAAAGTGAGACCTTAAAAGTCTAGGGAAGAAATTAGAGTCAAATTCTTTGATTTTTAGATCCAAAACAATCTTTGAAATTCAAGAAAAATATCGAAGGTTTGAGATGAAACACTTTGATTTACAATAGTCTGGGCTTTCTTTCATTTTTTTTTAAGTTTCAAATGGCTAAGACCTGAAAGTTATAAAAAGAAATTGAAGATAGATTGGAAGGAAAGCTGAACTAACCCTAGAAAGAGTTGAAGGCTCTTTTGAAGAGAAGGGACTATTTCAAGAAAAGACTAATACTGCCTCACTGATAGGGCCCCTTCAAGGGATTTCTGGCCCAACCACTTCTTCAGTGTCCAATTTTCAGTAAATGTTATCCTCAGATACTTGGAGATCCCCAAAGAGATAGAAATTGCCATTTGTCCCCACTGAACACCTCCAAGGCTATAACAGATTTTTTTTTCTGAGTTCTCTGGATGCAGATGTTTCATGGCAACAATAGAATTGATATGATGATAACATACATCACCATGGGTGAAATGAGTCAATCCTCCAGCTTTCCTGCAGCCCAAACAGCTCAGCAGAGAACACAAAGGATGTTCTGTGGCTTTAGGATAGGAACATAAAAGGAATAAACTTCTTGGTGAAGTGAAGAGACCAGAAGTTCTATAGAGGCTGAACTGTGGGAGATATTTTGCATCAAAATTATAACACTCTCAATTAAGCTATTATTTAAATAATTTTTTATTTTCGCTATTTACATATTTATTTACAAACAAACAGTTGCATGGTCTGTGGAGTAAGGTTTTGCTTTCAGGGATACACGTATTTTGTGGCCTGAACGTGAAACGCCTCACCCAAGTTCCTGAACCTCCCCACTCCATTACCCTGATGTTGTTATTAGGGGAGGTTTGGAGCCTTAAGAAGTGTGGCCCTGCCCTGGGCGCTGGTTCTGGAGAACTGATGTCCTGTCCTTTCTTGTTTCTTTATTATCTAAGTGCAGATGCAACGTGGGCAGCTGGCCTGCCTTTGGCTCCTGCTGTTACGTCCTCCATGCCTGCCGCTTGTCTTCTCCACCAAAACGCAGAGCCTTGCACTGCGCCTGTCAGGCAGCACGCAGCATTTCTCCTTTAAGTTGCTTTTGTTGAAGCACTTTATCTGAACAATGGAGAAGAAACTAAAACAACACTTCATAAAAGAAAAAAAGAAATATTGCAGAAGAGAATTGTGGAGTGTTACCCATATTAATATCATTTTGTTTTTAAACAGTCATTAAAGTACAATGTATTATTCAAAAAATTTGTTGACCTACTGTGTTTTAGGGGACTTGGATATATACAACTTGGTTGTGATTATTTATTCATTTTGTGATGTCAAAGGAGATACATTTGTGTCTAAGCCAAGAAAAATGACCTGAAAGGATAAAGCAGATTGTTGGAACGTAGCAAAACCACATTTGTGGCACTCGTAAAAGATAAAGCTTTCTCCTGAAAAACAAGAGTCACCGCTTACTTTGTGAGAGATCGCTAAATGTGAATACATTATCTAATTGTATATATCTGTATTATCACTACGAGTAGCAAACACATCCTCGTAAGCTCCCAAATCCTTGATACTCGCAGCCACTGATCAATGTGAGTCATATTCCTTTAAGGCTGAGCACACTTGAAAAAGCTGAGTTTAATCTTCAACAAATTACACCACCACAGTAGAAAGACCCAGATAAAAGAACCAAGCTCAGTGACAGCAGTGTCCCAACGTGCAAAGTGAAACATGGCCTGAGGATTCATCACTGCATATTTTAGAAAATATCATCTTTTTTTTCTTGAATGTATTTGCGTAGTAAAGTCATTTAATTATAATGTGTGAATGTGTATATAAAGACTCCAGTGAGAAGACAAAATCTCCCAGAACTTCACCTAGAGTGAGACTGTAGATAAAATACAAGGCATTTTTATGCAGGGTGTGAAAAAGCTGACTAAAATATTTACGTATTAATATCCCATTGCAAAGATCACTGTTAGCTCATTGGCCTTAAATTATTCACTGGGTTCGATGGTTATTATTTTTGGCTGCTGCAGTCAGGACCTTATAAATACATTTCTGAGGTCATGGCCTCCACTTTCCATGGAAGCCTTGCTACCCCCTTTCGGTTCTAAAAGTGAACACTACATGAAATTACCTGACATTCAACCTCAGTGAGTCAAAGACTTTTCTGAACCACTAGTGAAACTTCAAAGGCATTTCTTTTCAGGAAATAAAGAATTTTAGCATCAACTTTAATAAAATTTTAAACATGGGGTTCATAACAGTAACTCCCTTGTTTAAGAACAAAAAAAAATCATCCTATCAAATATATTCTAAATAGACTTTGAAATATTTTAAATAGTAAAAAATCATTTTTCTCAGCTCCTTTATATAATAGATATATTTTAGCTCACAATGTCAAGTCATAGGCCGTCACAGCAGGGAAGTCGAGAAAACAGGAACTTGAGAAAATTGGTCACATCTCATTCACTATCAACACTGAAGAGCAGAGAGACACAAACTAAAGCCTTCTTGTCTCAACTCATGTCTCTGCCCTAGGAGAACTGAGAGCCTAAACTTAGGGAATGATGCTCTCCACAGTGGGCCAGATCTTCCCATATCAATGGATTTAACATCTGCCAGGTTGAAGACAATCCACCAGAGATGTGTCCACAGGCCAGCTTCCTCTAAGCCGTCTATGCTTGAGACACTTTTCTTGGGTGACTCTGGAAGTACTTACAAAGGGATTACTTTTAAAAAGTTTTCCAATCTTTGCCTGATAGTCTTGTGTCTTTAATAATGCGTCCTATGACTTATTTTGAACACAAAAATAGACATTTGCATTGTATATTTGATATTATAACTGTCTGAATATTTTGTGAATCTAAGTATGAAATCTGATGTGACTTGGGGTCCTTGTCTTGTGTCTTTAGGCAAAAGGAAACAGCAAAACACCGCGAAACTCTCTTTCTTGGATGTTTTGCTGCAGGAAGGATTTTTTTTTTTTTTTTATGTAAGAATTACTTCAGGCCCTGCTAGCCCTACTGGGGAATGTTTCACTGGATTTTTTTTTTCCTCTGTTGTTGTCAATGCACAGGGTTTTACTCTGGCCTGGCACTCACCAGGTGAAAAGGACTTGTTCAGATGGCTTCCTCTTCCTCAGCCTAGTCAGTGCTGGAGTCACAGATGTGTAATCAGGCCTGTAGATTTAAATAACTTTACCCTCTCCCTCATTATCTTCCTCTTCTTTTCTCTCTCACTATTGGGTGTATTTGAACACTATAAAACTTAGACCAATTTTTATTCTCTTGAAAAATGTAGACAATCAAACCTTTAGCTTCCTATTGTCCCTTGAATTGTCAGTTGTTGCAAGAAACTAGAAATAATACCTGGAACCCTTGTTCATATTGTTCAGGAAATTTGAGTAGGATTTTCACCCTTAGAATAAACACAGGGTTTCTACTAAGCCAAACCATTCTAAGGTTAACATTAGGATGTGAATGAAGAAGGAAGATTTGGAGAGTCTTATGACACAATTCTAAGACACTTTGTCACACAGGAGCCATGGCGTGTGATTTAAATGTGTAAGTGGCATGATAAACCTCCCACGTGCCTAAGAATAGAGCTACTGCTGGACACTGCTATCTCACAACCCTGAAGTACAATATGATAATGACACCACTTATCACCAGTGTATAAATAAGAAGGAAGAAAAGAGAAGCTGCAAGCATTCTAACTAGAAAGAAAGCCAAATTAAAATATTAACTTACTGATTAATATAACATTAGGTGACCTATTTTCTCTAGCTTGTTAAACAACAAAGACTGTGAAGCTAAATAACTCTCCGAAAGATAAATGTTTTAGGAATTCCCATGGAGATGTTTAGCTCATTTTAAGACACCATTAAAGATGCACTTCACCCGTACTGGGCCGTTTTATTCTTTTTATGATGAAGTACCCTATTTACATTTATTAATGCAGCCTAAAGAATTGGAATTTGATTAAGGGTTCCTCTTATTCTAAAATGAAGACAAATAGATGTTTTTTGTCCTTGTCCTCAGTGACTCAGTGCAGAATTAAGGAGAAACCAAATTCTTTAAAAGTTATTCAGGTCACACTTGAAAATGTATATATCAAAACTATTCATAAATTGAGATAATAGTTGACTTACAGACTAGAAGCCTGCAACCTTCTTTCTGTGTGTGTATAACCTCCAGGATCTGCAGACTCAAGCAGGCCTTCAAAGACATGAATTTTGAAGAAAAGATAGTTGGCTTTTACATTGCGAGGACTTGGTTCATGGTGCAATGTTTAGTATACCACGTTTTTTTTTTTTCTTATGAAGCAGAAGGATTTAAATTCTCTCTTGTCCTTCTTGAAATTACCTGCTAGCCAGTGATCAATCAAAACACAACTCACTTCAATTCAGTGCACTCATCACATCTGCCGGGAGCTGAATGGCATAACTCAAGGTCCCCACTAGGAAGTGAGGATAGGTTATCCTTAGCTTCAGGTGAGGTCAGTGTAGTCCTCTCTTGGCCAGGAAAGCAAGACTTTTCAAGATTATCAAGTCATTGCTATACTGAGTAAAATAGTTCTAATGACCTGATTTCTCCAGACCTTTTGGGAATAATATTGGAAAAGGTTCAATTTTTGCTTACTATATTTATTAAGTGCACACAGATTAACATAAGAAAATTGTTAGTATTGGGGGTTTGTTTGAATGCAAGTTTGTCCTCAGAAACTGGTGAAGTGTCACCTTTGACCTTCAATTTGAGCCACTTTTCATCACAGGGTTGTTTTCTCCTGTTATTCTCTCAACTTGCTGAAGTGTCAACACTATGTTCTGAAATGTTTGGTTTTTTTTTTTTCAGCTTCCTGAGTGTTCGTAGCTTTCTGTGATTCTGAGGTTATTTCTTCTTTTCTCAAATCTTTGTTGTTTTGTTTCAGTGTAGTAAATGAAAATACCCTGGAAGATCTCTGAGGAGTAAGGCCTTGTTTTAGCTACCTAAGCATTTAATCTTTCCAGCTAGTCCTCACCTTTTCTCCCTGATGCCTATCTTTATATATTGATTTTTGCATATATATTTACATATACACAACACATGCATATGTTTTATGTATATACATGTACAAAGTGCTATTCTGGCAAGTCTTTAATATCTAGTCCTCTGTTAAGAAAATATTCCCAATATTTTATTTACTGACTAGCCCAATATAAATGCTCTCACCTTGCTGTTGAGATAACCACACTGAATGTGAATTTAGGGCAAGTTGTACACATTTGGCCCCATGAAATACACACAGGAGAACCCACCTTTCCCCTATACTTCTTCTGAAGATTTTGTCTGCAGCCAATCAGCTTAAGAAATGTATTGACACCTCCTTTCACCAAGCCTCAGTGTAAAGAAGACAGACATTTACTATATAAGAAAGTGGTTGCATTTTCCAAGCTCAGTGTCTGTGAGCTTTGCCAGAAATCCACTGGGCAAAATAGTACTAGCCTGTGTAAACACTACGATGTTCATGTTGACCTCTGTGCCATCAATAATGGCATGTTTTTAAAAAAATCTAGGATATTCATGTCTTCTGCCAGAGTACATGAAAACATTACAGGGTAGCTTATATGTGCTCAAGTTCAGTAAAATAAAATGTGGAATCTGACTGATGTCCTATGATCTGAAATGGATAGAAAAATATATGATCACATCTCTTCCAGAAGTTTTCATTTAGTAACAGTGTCTAGGAAAATAGTTTTATTGCTCATGCCTCTGAAATAACATGAAATTGTTGTATGAATACAAAGTATTGAGAAATTTCAACATCTAAATTATTCCGTGAAAATTTGCATCTCAAAGCATTGATTGGTCATTTATTCACTAATTTATTATATTAGTAAATTTTTACCTTCTGAATTTTATTGCCATGATAAATTTTGTAAAATTTTGTCAGTGAGGCAAAGAAAATACAACAATCAAATGTAGGCCACAGTGTTCAATCAAAACAGAAGCTTTGACAGCTAAAATTTAAAGCACTTTCTCTATGAATATATGTGGACATGACTTTATGTTGTTAAGGGTTCCATGTTTATTTGTTTGTTGATTACAAAGTTTTGATGTGTAGCCCAGGGTATGCTCCAAAGAATGATCTTCCAACCTCATCCTCCCCAAGCTGGAATTTTAGGCACTC